TTATTTATCGTCAAATTTACCAGAGCCATTAAGTGGTTTTCCATAAGAAGCTTTAACATAGAATTCTCTTCTATTGCTACATTCAGCTCAACAGCATTGAATTTATTCATTCTGTGTTCACTCCATTTATTTGTTTCTACCATTTTATTCAGTATCTTCCTTCTTGTTTAGTCGTCTATTATCTTTTAGCACTGCATGTTCATTTATTGGTATCATTACTAGCTGATGTATTTGCTCTTGCATATCAATTGTTAATAAATATCACTAATCTTTTTACAACCCTTCCTTGTGTTGATGATCCAAGGCTCTACTAGCTATCTGAATTCCCTCCAATCTTATGTGTTCACTCAAGCGTTCAAATAAAAAAAGATAATACCCTGTTGCTTTTTAATTGACAGTTACACTACGTGAGTTTTAAATTGAACCTTTCTTGAAAATGGAATAAAAGTATTTCAAGACCATATAAAACCAACACATTTCTAATGTACCACAAGTGTTTTAAACTAGATATTGTCTTTTTCATGGACATATGTCATTGAGCTTAATACAAACCATCCAGCCATCACACCTCTCCTAAGGCACAACTCTTCCCTGACTGGCTAATAGATGTCACATGACTCATATGAGCTTGGCACTCATATGACATTGAATGGGGCATCTGTGATTCAAACGCTCTACTCATAACATTGCCATCCTCTGTCTGCCAAATATTACAAATCCCACAAATAACAAAAGCTGAATGTCCACCTTTACTAAATCCATTTAGTCTCAGCTCCTCTTCAACATGATTTTATTACTTGGAAGCGCCGCTCCGGTGACCCCTAGATGGCGAGGCCTTGTGGAAATGACTGTGATGTGACAAATGGCTCAACATTACGGTGTACAATTGTCCATTAGTGAGAGAACTCAGAGCACACAGCTCTGGGAGTTGGATGAGAGTGTGTTAGTTAGAGGATGCCAAAGCTGTTCCTCTGACAGACCACAGTAAGGCTTAGCGGAGCTATGATTATCCTAATGCTTTATAAAAGAATTACTGCATAATCACATTTAAAAATCATTTTGGTTCATATAAAACTAAAACCATAAAAATCACACATTTTCAATACTTAAAATAAAGGTTAACTGAAATCATTGTTATTTTAGTATAACTGAGATACTATTATAGTTGTTTTCTAGTTATATTATAGTTAATATTTTGAATTATTTTCTGCTTTAATTTTGATTTCAGTTTTAGTTATTTTAGTGCATCAAGTTGAGAAATGTTGCCCTGGAATCTAGCTTAAATAAAATAATTTTTAATTTTTAAAAAAACATTTGATTTAATTTCAAATTAAACATGCTTTTTATGATTTTAGTTTAAGTCATCTATATAATAACTCTATGTGAAATAAAAGAAAATATATTAAACTTAAAACAAACTTATTTTATCACAGCTAGTTGCCAAGGTATAATTTCTCATTTTCTTTTAGTTTAACTTAATGCACTATAATAACTTATAACAATAATATAGACATATAAAGAATAAAAATGACAAAACACACACCAAAATTAATCAAATTAACTAAAATTAACATGAAAGCAGAAAATATAAAAATGAAATCTAATTCAAAATATCAACAAAAACTGTAATAGTATCTCAGTGATACTAAAATTCAATGGTACTGAACCTAAATTAATATACATGTATCAATGATAATAAAATAACACTGATTTTGATTCACTAATGAATCATTCAGGCAGATTTTAAACTGGCTCGACCATTTGAAGGAAAAAATTGTCTCAAGAGAATGACTCCTTCACAAATTAGGCATGACTTTGAATTAGGCATGAAGCTTTACTCTCTAGACCAGTTTCATTGACATTTCAAAGCCTGGAAAACACAGTTCTGAAATTCCCTGTCTCTGTATCTCCAGTGTGCTGAGTGATAGAGAGAGCTGTGCTGTACCTGTGATGGCGTGGTGAGAGAAGGCCTCCACGTAGGTCAGGTAGTTGTGGGGACAGTGTTTCTTCAGCCACTTACACACGTCCTGTTGGGTCCAAAGCACCACTGGTTTGCATAAGCTGGAGAGCGTCGGGCTGGTGTGGTACACAGTGAAGGCCTCTCCTGGCTGGATCTGTGGAGCGAAAACATCCATATTGTCACCATCTCAACAGAAACCAGTTTAACGCTGAAGCAAAAATATACAGTATGTGGCCCATATGTTCACCAGACAACATTCCCACCAGGTTTAAAAATTCAAAACAGGTTTAAAATTGAAAAAATGTAAATCTATCATACTAAAAAAACAACAGATGGATTAGTTAAGCAGGACGAATACGGAAAAACAATGTGCTGCTTTCATATCTTCAGGGTGCTCTTACAGGGTACTTTTTTCTTTGAAAGCGCTAATTAAAACAACTAGCGCTGCATGCTTCTGTGTAAACAATGCTCTTCCAATTACACGCACACTTTGTTCTGACTGCCGCAATGAGCAGAAAGATTCATCAAAACACACTTTTATGGCTCTCTGCTGCAGAGAACTGTAATAAAACCCTTTACTAGGGTATGTTATGCTTGTGTGAGAGCATGATGAAATGATGAAACTATGAGAGTAAACACTCACAGGCCTGATTTATTTAATTGGGACTACTAGACACCTTAAAAACTTACACTGAGACAAATCTTAATAACAAAATATCTTTATAATGTCTTATTTCTAAAGGCTGTCAAAGTGAATATGCAAATTATGGAAAATACCTTCTTAATTCATCTATAAATGAAATCCAAAATCATGGACGTTCGACAAGTATGAGCGTAACACCATTTACCACCAAAAAAAGACCACCAGAAGACTGTTGCGACATTTAATATTTGAGAAACTGATTATATTTGTAACTCTGGAAGCAGAGGATGGCAGACAGAGACATGAATCCAAGTGCAGGGGTTTAATAACAAGACCAAAAACCAGAACAGGGAACAAGAAATGCAAGGAACCAGGGTACATCTAACAATTGACAATGAAACACTGGGAAACCAGTGCTGCGTCCGAAAGCTCTAAAATGCTGCCTTCGGAGGACTTAGTTTAGTTTAGAGCTTTATTAATCGCCTTGGGGCATTTAATTCAGACTTTCGTAGTGCTTCACATATACAACACTTAACACACACATACAAATACTCAAAATACACCAAATACATAAGAGAAGGGGAAAAAACATAACATAAACGTATTGCTTTTATGTAATAAAAGCTGTCAGGGGCTGGCGGTGGTGTTCTCCCTCTCACCACCAGAGGTCGCCATCTCCCATCCTCCCGGACTCTTTCGCCGTCACCTTGACACCACACACCTGGGCACCCACTCACACACACACACAGCTGTCGCCCATCCGGGACTCCATCACCTGCACTCCACACACCTGTGCACACACTCACTCTCACACAGCTGTGGCCCGTCACGAGGACTATTTAGGCGCCTTCCCCACGCCACTCGGGGTCGGATGATTAATGTTGGTAATGTTTGTTTCGGTGACTGATGCCAGCCCTACGTGGCCGTATGGTGTCAGAGTCTTCTGTTCCTTGCCTGTGTCTCAGAGTCTCAGCTCTGTTTACGTTTATGTTTTTACTTTGTTTTCCCCAGCAGTGAAATAAAGCCTGCATTTGGACCCTAACCCACGTTCACACGGTGTGATTCCTGACCGCGCCGTGACAAAT